CTGTGCTGATTCTTAGTGATAAGGGAACATGAACTAAAGTTTAAATATGTCATTACAGATATTCTTGCTTTTAGAAGCAGACTCTGAGATCATCCTGACCTGCAGAATCATGGAATTTGCCAGAACTTAACTGTAGAACTGTTAAAAAATAAAAATATTATATTTTAAAAAACAATTCAAATACAAATTCTAAAATGTTGCTCACACTTTGTAAATAATAATGAGCACAATAAGTTACAAAAAAAATAAAATTGAAAGCAGTAATAGACCTGAGGAAGTTCTCAGAAGGTGGCACTGATTTAAAGGAAAATGAGCAAGAACAAAGCCTTAACCTTGCTGCCACGTCCAGGACTTGCTGTGTTCTATATTTGCGCTGCTTCTAACAGCATCGAACTTCCAGTTACCAGCAGACTGTTACGATTGTGTTTGCTTTGGGGATGACAAATTCTGACCTCTTGTAGAACCAATGGAAAGAATAATCTTTAGGTCTTACCTGTCTAGCACAGGTGTTGCAATTACTTTTCCCAAATTAATATGTGTCAAACCAAAGTCTGGCAAACTCAGCAAGTAGCTGATCTGAAAGTTTATTTCTCCTTTTTTTTTTTTTTTTTTTTAAGATTAAAAGCAGAGAAGACTCCACCTTTTGACTTAGTGACCAGAAACCAATTTTTGGACTTGATGCATAACCTTAATGACTCCTGACCCTCTACTTCTTGACATACAGAGAGTTCCTTATATTCCCTTTTTATTATGTTATCTGCATCTATTTTTTTTAAAGGTCAGTGCCTGCCATGTTTTCCTACCTTGCTTCCCAATACTATAATTTTAATCCCAGCAGCAATCCTTTGTTAGCACTTCAATATATTTCAAATATTATATCTTGCCAGATCCTTAAACTATCATGCCAGGGATCAGAAGCTCTGTGCATGACAAATGTTCCTTTGTGGAGCTTTTGATGTGATGTCAAGCCACGCTCCGGAGACATTACACTGTGGATCTTTGATATCGCGCACCATGACAATGTCTCCTCCGTAGCTGTCACAGCCCCTGACTCAGGGCGTGCTGTTCGTACTGTCAGTGCTCCAGGAAACACAATGTACCTGGGGTGTGTCAGAATCTGGTTGCGAAAAGACATATGGTGCCTGTAGTATAATCAGTAATCAACTGTGAATTTCTTAATCACTGCGAAGAAAATGATGCAATGTCATTAATTCTACCTGCACAACCCAGGAGAATATGTGCATAATTACCAATAATGACTTAGATCCGTGCACAGGACCAGGGCCTATTCAGGAAAGCTGATATTTTTAACCCAAATGCTGCAAGGTAAAGTGTACTTCAGAAGGAAATAGCAATTTCCTGAATTAAAACCTGCAAAATTTGTTCTTATTTTTCCCTTTTCATTCCTTCATTACCATTGTAAAGATCAAATTGCATAAGATCCACTAATGTGTTGCTCTTTCATAAAGTCTTTGAGTCAGAGTGGTTGAAGCCAAGACTGCAGTACTTATCTTCCAATAGCACTTTAAATTAGGAATTGTCTACAACTAAAAAAAAGCCATTTGTTTTTATAAATATGTGACTGAAATACCTTGCAATACACAGAGCTCTCCAACAAGTGGCACTATTAAGACTATTCAAATTATGAGATTGATATGCAAATGAGATCTAAGAAAGGGATGTTGGGACATGTTTTACAATATTGGATTCACTTTAAAATCTCTTAAATTTACATATGAAATATGATTGAAATATATATTCATAATTCATCTATTCTGGAAAGTTTTGTGTTATCCAAAAAGAAACCACTGAAAAGTAGGTCAAGTGCCATAAGCTCAAGCACGCAGTCCTCTCTAAAGGGATGAAGTCACGGCAGTGTGGAGAAACCACCTAATTAAGACGTTAGTAAAGGTGATGTGTAACCAGGAACTTTGTCTGTAGATCTGAGCTAAAGCAAGTTGCTGAATGTGTGTTGAGGATGGCATTGCCGCATTCACGGCAAGTTATCCCTTAAGTATTCATGGGTCAACTTCTTCACCTTTATTCTTATCTTATTTTGTTGTTGTTGCTTGACAAATTATGGATTGTTTTGAGAGACCATAGATGACATCTTTTCAAATAACTCATATTTGTCTGGAATATATGTTTGGCTGCACTTCAAGAAAAATGGTCCAGAAATAGTTACACATACAAAAATTGAGGCGTGGTGATAGTTTATTGCAATGGAAACAGGATCAGACTGGATTTTTTTGCTGGAATATAAACAGTTTGGGAACAAATTGGGAAGCCAAGGCATTAAAATGTAAAATAAGTGATATAAAAATAGCATTTCAAAATGGTAGGTTTCATTTGGTTAGTCTAATATTCCTTATGTATTTGGAAAACAACTCTGTCAGTTTTTCCCCAGTTTTCTAGTGTTATATAGAGATATAATAATGTATAGTGTTGTATAGAGATATAACAATATGGAGAGATATAATGACCATAATAAAACCACAATCTGAGTGATATATGGGAGTGTGAACTCTGTCTTCTATTATAAGTTGATCGCAAAATTATTAATAATAATTTGGGTGCCAAAAGATGTATGGAGGTGCTTGGTGAGTTTTCCAAAAGCCTTTATGCCCAGTCCCTGCTTGGCTCTAGCTCTTTTCACTCTGTGCCAACCTTTGTCTTGCACAAGTGTGATCTAGTTCCCACTGAAGTCACTGCAATAAAATCTAAAATGGATATTTGCACTTTACTCTTCCTTTTAGCCAAATAGTAACATTAATTTTAAAACATTTATTTTAGAACATCAGCCAGTAAGATAAATGGCAATTATCGTACCTTTCAGAAGCACATGCTACGGGTTACACAGTGTGTTTTGTTGAGTTTTCAACCTGGACAACTTTGACTACCCAAAGCCACATCTCCTGTAGTGTGGTCTAAGTAACAGAATATGTACACTTTGAATGCAGTGGCATAATGGGCACATAGCATGCTAACTAAACCATTACAAATGCTACATGGCTTATTTTTATCTCTCATGCCAATACAAAATTCTTTTTGTGTTTCAGGGAAAAACGAGGCAACAAGAAGATTCAGCCCTGCTAGTATTTAAACACATGATGAGTCTCCTTACACACTCCTTTCACGTGCTTAACACCATATATGTCTGCAGAACCAGAACCTAAATGGTACTTGTGAGCAAGGCTTTATATGATCATTACTTGGAAAAGGGAAAGTGAAGTTTATGAGTCAAAATCTTCAGTGGGGTGCTATTCTGCAACCCATGTAGCCACAAAAAGTAGGGAAAAAATGCTATGGAACTAAATGCTTTTCACTTTACTTGCAGACAACGGTACAAAATGCAAGCTGAGGAGAACCACGCTTCTGAGAAGTGGTGATATATTTGTCCTTACATACAAAGAGTTGAATCTTTGTTGACAACATAGTTTTCTGTAGTTTAGCAGACTTTGAAAATGCAGGTAGCTCGATGAAGCTGCTGCAATTTCAGAAGACATCAGTGAGATAACTTCACAGGAATTGCTCCTCTCTAAAAGATACAGAAAACACAGTATATCATCTGTCTGTAGTGAAAGGGGGAAACAGGATGAAAATGTACAATGAAAACTGACAAACGCAGAAAAAATAACAAACATGCACATGTTAATTACTGAACGTGCTTTTGTTAGCAGTAGGTCACCATCATTCTTTATTGACATTTACTGCAACTGCAATTGCTTTTTCAAGACCACTGACCCAGGAAAATGTAACCCTCTAGTTATCCAACGCCCTTTAATTAGAGATGTCTCCGGAGATAATCTCACTCACGGCCCCTATTGTGAATCATTTATTCTCCAACTTTCCTTTTTATTAGTTGTCTTTCATCTTTATGTTTTACTGTCCTTGCCCGGCTGAGTAACTCGGGCTTGTAGAATGCGGCTTATTCATCTACCGGTTCTCCCGACTGCATTTCATGTCCAGTGACATTTGGGGTCTCGCTCAGAAGCACTGGCTGCCGGCACCGGGATAATTTGCGGGAATCGCAGCTTTCCACTTGGCAGAAGGAGCCATGGCGCCAAGCCTCGGGGTGGGAATAGGGCTCCAAGCCGGGCGCTTTAAACACACACACACACACACACACACACACACACACACAGAGGCACACACACACACACACACACACACACACACACACACACACACACACACACACACACACACACACACACACAGGCACACACCCCCCGGGGAGGGGGCGAAGAACAACCAGCGCTCCCGCGCTGGAAGCACTTGACGGGGTTTTGTTTTTGTTGTCAGTCCCGGCAGCGTTTCTCTCTCCGTGCGATGCCCGGCACGGCTGACTCATGACTGCTGGACGCCTGCGGTCCGCACTACAAGTAGGATGAGGTTCCTCCGCGAGGGCGGAGCGCGTAAAATATCGTCGGCATCAACACTGAGGCGGCCCCGCCGGCGGCCGGGAATGACCGGGGTGGGTGTTCTGTGCCCTGACCTCCGCGCTCTGCGCACACCTCGCCGCCGCGTCGGCCACCGCGGCAGGACACCCCTGGGCCGCCCCCGCCGCCATGGCGGCCCCTCGCCGCGGACTACGGCTCCCAGAGCCCCCCGCGGCCGCCGGCGCGAGCCCCGGCGCGGGGTCCGCCGGCACGCGCGCACGCACGCACACCCCCCTTCCCCCCCCACTCCCGCGGGAGGGAGCGAGTGAACGGCTCTGCGCATGCGCAGCCCGCTGGCGGAGGGGCGGGGCGGGCGTAGCGCCGCCGGCGCGGCCGCTATTCTCGCAGCGGCCTTACGCCACTCTCCGTGCGCAGGGCCCGCGGCGGGCGTAGGCGCGGCGGCGGGTGCTGCGCCCTTGGCGTAGCGTTGTTGTGAATGGAGCGCACGGCGGGGCGGGGAGGTGACGTCAGCCTGCGAATGTCAACAATGTAGCGATTGAGGGGCGGGGGCGGCGCTGGGCCGGGGCGCGGGAGGCGGCGGCGGCGGGCGAGAGGGCGGCAGAGCCGGGCAGCGCAGCAGCGGCCGCGGCAGCACAGCAGCGCCGCCTTCTTTCCTCCGCCTCCGCTGGCCGGGCTGCCACCGCCGCCGGCCCCGGGTGCCGCTCCGGCAGCGACACAGCCCGCTGCGGTGCCGCTCCCCCTCCCCCCCGCGTCCCTCCCTCCACCCGCCCTCCCTCCGCTGCGGCTTTCTCTCCTCCTCCGGCCCCCCTGCCAGCCCTCCCCTCCTTCCCTCCCTTCCCCCTTTATTTTTCTCCGCAAGACTTTGGCTCTGGAAACAGCTGGTTCAAAGCAATCGCCATGTGATGATCGTCTGGGTCGGGGTTTTTTTTTTCATTTGGGGGGGGGAGGGTGCAGGTTTCTGACCGCAGAGAGATACTAATAAGAATTTCCGAAACAACAGCAGCAGCAAGAACAAGAGCAACCCCCCCCCCTTTCCCCAAACCTCCTCAGCCGTAACAGTCCCCCCACCGCCCCGCCCCGGGCCCACTCCACCCTGCCCCACCGCCTCCCCTCCACCTTCCCCCCAGGCTGCAGCGACAGGGGCGACCCCCGAAAGTTGCGCGGAGGCGAGGTGAGTGCGCCTGTTCCGCGGCTCGGCAGCCCCGCTGGGGAAGGGGAAAGGGAAGGGGGGGGGCAAAGTTTGGGGGGAGGCTGGCTGGGCGGGGGGGCAGCGTGGTTTTCCCCCTCCTCCTCCTTGTTGTCCTCCTCCTCCTCCCAGGAGCAGCAGCTGTTGCGCGGGGTCAGGCGGGGGGCTGCACCCCCGCCTCTGGAGCTCCGCGGGCTGTGCAGGCGCGCTTAGTGCTTATTCCTTAAAGTGGGAAATACGCGCGTTGCGTAACGGGGAGCGCGCGGCGGGCGCCCCGGTTCTGGTGCGTGAGCCCGTGCGCGCTCCCCCGCGCCGCGCTCCGCTCCGCACGGCCGGAGGCCGGGGCAGCCCCTCCGCCCGGGGCTCCCCCGCCGCCTGCCCCCGGCCCCGCCGCCCGACCACCTGCAGCCGCTCGCACGGGCGCCGTACCCGCCGAGCCCCCCGCTCCCCCACGTTCCCGTAGGTCCGGAGAGGGATGCGAACTCCGGTAACAGTTCCTGGGATGGCGAAGGCGCGGCGTGCGCGCAGGGCAGCGCGCCGCGGAGACGCTGGCTGTCACGGAGGAAGCTGAGTGTGAAATCGTGCCTCTCCTTTTGTGGAGCGGGCTATTTTGGTCATGCAGCGGGTGTCTTGCTTAAATCGCTTCAGTTGCCGTGAGATCATTGTGCCCTTGTTGGTGAAGCCCCGGAGACTCCGGAGTAAACCCTGGGTTTCAGTCTTTAATAATAAACGTGAGACAGGGGCGACATCTGATTAGAAATACTCCTTAGGATGTTGGAAAGATTGGGAAATTACAGCGTTGCTGTTTGCTCTAGTTGAAGCCATGTCAGGGTTTTCCTGATGAAAGCCTGTTTTCAGAGACTTTGGAACTGTCGCTAAACTTGTGCATATTTTAATTTTGTGTTCTGACTCGAGCTGGAAACGAGTCGGAATTTTTATGAGCTGGGAATTGTCTGAGATTCTGCCGTAGCTGGTGGAATGCTCTGTAGTTTGAGGAGGGTGGTGATGCTTGGGTAAATTGACTTTTTCAGGTATGTAAATACTGAAACTTGAGATAATTGCGTTTGATGAGATGGATAGACTAAAATGATAAGGTGGTGTGTTACACTGTTGCCACAACAGCCCTGTAGACAACAGCTTTAAACCGCTGTTCTAGGAGCCTTACATCTGACAAATAGAAATAAAATTCCACTTTAGATGTGGGCTTGCGCTTTTAAAAGCCTGTGTTGCCTTTTGTATCCACCCGTCTACCCCCTGTCACTGAGATCTGGGCAGTTGTGTGGCAAAAATGGATCGGTGTTGTACTTCCCTGTGGTGTACTGAACCTGTGCTTTCAGCAACGTTTTTGACATTTGACCCTCTAGCTTCAAAGGCTGTTCTGAAGGTGTTCTGCGAGGAATGGAAGGAAGCCGTGACTAATTGGAAAAGCAGAGAACTGAAAAATCAGGATCATAGGTCTAGTTTTCTTGTTACTTTCCTCTGTAACACTGAACGAACCATGCAAACATGTACGCCTGTACAGTGAGCTGTCAAGTGGGCAAGAAAGGTCACTAGTGATTTTGGAAATAGGGTGGTTGTCAAGATATTTAATAATCTCTTGCAAAAATGCTCTACAGAAGCAGAGTGTGCATTTCTGGGCAACTCTGGGCAAGTCTGGTGTGTGACTTGTGGTTAAACAACTAATTTTTTAAAAAACTTTTAGCACTGTGAAGAGTGGATGGGGAAGATGCGCACAGCAAATACATGACTAATGCATATGCTGACAGATCCCAAGTTGATAATCAACAGCAATTGTTTATACCCGGGTATCTCACGCTGAGAAACAGTGCTAGAACAGGTATTCCTAGTCCTTCTCTGACTCAGAGGCACATCTGGAACATCTGGTGGTGATAATGTGCACGCTGGCAGAATGCGCTACTAATGAAGGGGAGGAAGGCATCCCACCTACCTTCTTTACAGCAAGAAAACATTGGCTGTTCACTCTTCTGTGCTGGGCAGCAAGGAAAGTTACGGATAAAACCTGAGTTACTAGCTGAGGATAACTGTTCAAATCACAATAGATAGCCATTAATGTAATGCTCCTAATATGAGGAGATTTTCGTAAATCTTTGACATTGTAAAAGGCTTCAGATACTCATTGAAATAATGAAATCTCTATATATTAATCTTACATATCTCTTTCTGCAGTTCATAATAAATGACAAAGACAGGCAAAAATAAAATCCTGTGTAGATGATGTGTAGTGTGAATATGTGACAGAAGTTGCTTGCCTTTGCTTATTTCAAAACTTTCATTGCTTGATTTTCTGTTCTGAAGTGCAATAGCTATTTTTCTTAATGAGGCTGCAGTATGATTGCCAATTACTTATTTTCCTAAAAAGGTGTAATGAAAAATTCAACCTTTTTTTTTTTAAAGAAGAATAGAAATAGATATTTTCTCATTGTGTGCCTGTGACATTCTTTTTGGATAAGACTTTGCATATGCACAGATAAGGAGGAAACCTCTTAGAGTGTAGCTAAGAGACGTTTATGGCACTAAGCTGAAAAATGAGGTGTGTAACATGACTATATGCAAAGTAATCATTTTGGTACTAATGACATTTTTATGTAATAAATGTTTGGTGAAATTGAATAGCATTTATTGTGTGATGTGAACAGAGTCTCTTGTAGTTTTAATTTAGGTGGTATGAACATGGTTTATATATTCAAATCAAAATGTATGTGCCTTTTCACTTAAACGAATGCTCTCTGAATGGCTTCTTAGTTTACACTAAGAACATACCTGTAGTGTTGAGAAGATCTGACTTTGATTTGAAGGCATGCATGCTTAAGTCTTTCACCTCTGTGTCTCAATTTCCATCTCAACTCATTTTGCATGTGATGGTTCTGTATTAATGGTTTCTGAGTTGAACTGTTAGGGGAAATATACCAATCATTCTGTTGCTGTGATGAAGAAAATTCAGATTTAAACTTTACACTTTCTCCAAGTTAGTCCTCCTGCTTTCAGTGTTCCTTCTGACTATAGATGCTGTAAGAGAATGTGTAAGAGTGTTGTTCTGATATTGCAGTTCTTTACTGATATTTCAGTTGGTGTCTAAATGATTTTATTGTAGTAGATGAACAGGCAGTAGAGTAACTCCCTCAGGTTTCCCAGAACAGTGTTCAAACTACTCATTTAGGCTTTTACAAAAAATGGTCATCCCTTTAAATTCAGCCAAAAGATACTAACCTTGACAGCTGTCTGAACATTACGCATTCATTTGTAGCTTGCATCAAGAAGATTTAAAATGTATGAATATAGCCAGCTGAGTTGCAATGTGCTCATCTTGCTTTTTAGATAGGCAGAACCATCTTTGTAGTGGATTGAAAAGAGCATGGACTATGAATTACAATTCTAAAGCATAGAAGCAGGGAATGTATACAAATGCCTCTGTGGCCAGCGATGGGCTCGCAGCTCCTGAGTTACTAGAACTAACGATCAAACAGCAACCACAGGTTCAGAACAGGTAAATAAAAAGGAATGAGGGATTAAGTTCGGGAAAACCCCTGTACTAAAAGTTTACATGTATGGCAGAAACTGTACAAAGAAAACTTTGATCTGTCAAAAATCGGGCTCACAAGACTCCTCTGCTTGATTGTATTGATCTTCATGCAGAAGGAACCACAGCAACAACCTGAAGAACACCAGCTGCACTGCACTGGCATCTCAGCAGATCAATAGATGTGTCCCTGTTTGGCTTGAAAAAGGTTGTCTGTAAAAGCTCCTACTGCGGTGGGGGCTGAACTGCAGCTCCTGTGTGGGTGAGGGGGCTGCCAGGTATGCAACCCCTCTGTGCATAACCCCTCAGCCTTCCCCCCTTTGCTGTTTACACCTGCTGAGGTAAACCTGCCCCCAGAGCCAGCTGGGACACTCCAGAATCAGTGCCTCAAAGGAAACGGAGGAGAAGGTGGTGATGGCTGCAGGGGCAAGAGTCATGGGGAGCTGAGCTATGCCTTTTTCTTCTTTTTAATTTGAAAGGTGACCTGAAAGGGTCAGATTCTCCCAGATTTATTCCTAAGACTTATTATTTGCATACAACTTTCTCTGCTATGGTATCAATTGAGGATGTCTAAAAAGCTATTAGGATCGAAAAATATGGGAATTTCCAGTTTATCTGTAGTAGGAGTTGAAATAGAAGCCCGAAGGTTTTTTTGTTTTGTTTTGCTCCTGTGCTTTGAAAACACTCAGCCGGGCTGTGATGGGTAGATGGGTTTTGGCGCACAGGTTCAAACGGAGTCTCCCCGCCAAGAAAAACAGGAACTGTTTGCTGCCTGTCACCACACAGGGCTTCTGGGCTGTGGAGCAGCAATTTCGTTTTTTGAAAAGAGGAAAAGCAGCTTAAATAAACAAATAAAATAGTCTTAATCTCAGGTACTTACTATAGCTGACATCCACTGAGTTGGGGTTTTTTTTTGTTTTGTTTTGTTTTTTTTAAATTTTTTTTTATTGGAGATTGCTTTAAAATTTAAACCTGAACTAGGAAAACAGGAACTGTAGGTGTGGAGGTGTTCCTTCACCCCGATTTGCATGCAGCCTGTTTTTTATTTAGTGGGTAGGTGTGTTCGGTGTATGTGAGAGCAATTGGACATGTCAGCAGTTTCCTATGAGCTGCTCTTGCTGACTCACGTGTCTGGTGCAGCTTGGAGCTACCCTGGCTATAAACTATCCACAATAGGAGGCGCGGGCGGAGAGACCGTCAGTGCCGAACCGCTGTTCAAAGGTTATTTTCAGTTCTTCGGTCACTGCTTTGCTGTGGTTTTCTTCCCCAGTAACATCAAAATACACTGTCATTTTGCTAGGCTGCTATTCGTCTAGGTGGATAGGGTTGTGTTCGAAGTGCATCTAGATTCTATGGATGTTCAGCAGACTAAACCTCTGGAGTTTATTTTTCGGTTTTTTTTTTTGGTTTTGTTTTGTTTGGGTTTTTTTGTGTTTTGGGGTTTTTT